ATTATTATTATTATTGTTTATTTATTTATCATCTTACTCTGCCCATTTTGGTGTTCCAGCCTAGCCCTTATTGCTGTGATACTTTGCCCAACTAAACTCTCTGTCACATTTATACCCATCATGATAGCTAAATGATCTATGGAGCCATTGTTTTGAATATCTTACTCAGCAGTGTAGCATGCAGGGCTATAATGTTTGTTAAATCGGTCTGTAAATGGTTATTATTCCAGACTGTATGCATCTGGTGCAGTGCCAACTGTGCTATGGGGTACATGTGGGTGACAGCAGCAAACGTATCAGCTGGGACTCTTTGTGCTGTCAGTGTTTGGTCTGTGGTGATGACAAGCACTTTTTTATATTCACATCATCAGCCCATCATCTGAATACATAAAATGATGTCTTTGTCTTATGATTGACCTCATGTCACTGGAGAGACAGTTTACTGTCAAGAATAATGAAAAATGTGCTTTCATATTCTATGATTTAATATAGAATAGAAGGCAGGGTGAGGAAAAACTCAGATTTAAAGGGACAGTTCACCCCAAAATCAAAAATACATCGTTTTACTTTTCCATGTAGTGCTATTTATCCATCAAGATTTTTTTGTGTGAGTTGCTGATTTTCGGAGATATCGGCCCTAGAGCACCCTATGGCACTCTGGTCTGTGGTGCCTTAAAGTGCCCAAAAAAAACCGAAACATTTGAACTCAAAATTTATGTCTCTTCCAAGAAATCTTGACCCGGTTAAGATAACAGGTTAACAGACATTGTTGTGTTGTTTCATGTTGGAACTATTTTTTTTGTACAACAAAATGAAAGTTTGCAGTCTGTTCATGCTACACACCTAGCAGTGCATCTTTTGAATTTGCATCTGGGGGGATGTGATCAGTTGCAACAAGATACTGATAATAATAATGGTTTTCATCTTCTCAAAAAACATATATTGTTGAATATACATTATAAATTTCTTTTGTATGCATAATAAAAGAAGGAACCATGATAAAATAAAAGGTAGTACTGTACACACTATATACACCAAATATAAACTGTAGTAACAAAATGTGTTGATGTAATACTGTTTTAAAGGTGGGGAATGTGGATTATGACAGAGAAAATCAAAGTAGTAGAGGCTGCGATGTCCTGGCTTTTTGTCCCTAATACGGGTCAGGCTGTGTCACCCCACTAACCTGATGGATGATGACGTAATTAGGGATTTTTTTTACACACTTTTTTTGTTTTGTTTTTTTTATAACTTTATTTTAGGCATTTTTAGTTATACAGAAATGAGCATACATACATACACACATATACAAACAAACATACAAGCTCGAAATATAGTCCCATATTAGTACCCTCCCCTTCTCCCTCCCCATATACCCTCCCATGGGACCAAGAATACAAAAAACAAAAAGATCCAATTCTGCAGAGGTATATCAATGGGCTAGTCAGACAGTTGACTAGAGAGAGCGCTTTGATAACATGATCTGTTAAAGATTCAACTTCTTCACATATTCAATGAAGGGAGTCCATACTCTATTGAATGTGTCACAGGAACCTTTCAGTGTATGTCTGATCTTTTCTAGCTGAAGTAAAGATAGCACCTCCTGGATCCATCTCCTGAAAGGTGGGCATTTATTAGATTTCCAATTCATTAAAATTACCCTACGTGTTATGAGACTACAGAATGCTACTGCTCTCTTTTGTGTACTTGTGGTATGCATTTCCAAGGGTGTGACTCTAAATATAGCAGTGAGTGGATTGGGTTTGAGGGATGTGTTGCATAAAGCTGAAAGGCAGTCTTTTTTTTACACACTTAACACAACTCCTCAAGGGCCACAGAGGCTCAGAAGCAATGTTAGGATGTAACCCATTACTAGTAATAATATTACTTTCCCCAGTAACTACTTACTTATAGATTTCAGTAATAATATTACAGTTAATTACTTTTGTTGTCACTCTTCTACTTATTTGAAATCCAACAATCCAATCACATTCTAAGATTAATTTTGTAATTGTATAGAAAACTAGTTTGGAAGATGGAAACGCTCACATTCAGCAGCTGGAACTATTCAATTTCTTTGATTTCTATCAGAATTTTGGCAAGAAAGGCCACAATTACGAATTCTGTAGGGAGTAGCAGGAAAGAAATATAACTAGTAGTGTAACTAATAACTATTGACAGGCAATAAAAACTAAAGCAATAATATTACTTTTGAAAAGAATATTGAGTAATGAGTACGGTGTTTACCCTACTATTTCATGTCAAAATTGCTGCTGTAAAAAAAGTCTTGTATGTCTCCTGTAGTTTATGTACCTCACTGGTATGCAGGTGTGTAATTTGAAGTTTGTACAAAAAAATCAGTAATACTGCCATACAATGTGCAGTGGCACCACCAAGGGGTGGCCTATGGGGTGCGCCGATACAATTGCAGCACCCCCTCACATATGCATAATATGTTTCTGAGTAATGAGTACTGTACTCATTTTTAAATCAGTAATGTATATTATTCATAATAGTACTGTAAATACAATAACAAATGCATGGCCAGCCATCTGCTTTTGACCGTCTATCACTGTGTCACACCACCTCAAGACTTTCAGTAGCCCCATCTGGCCATGCTTATGAAAGATATTTCAGGGTGCAACATATCTACTAGCTTACTTTAAAGACCTGATATGCAGATTTAACCCACAGACACACAAAAAAAGCTTATCTTCTATCAGATATAAGATAACACGATGACAAGGTGACGTTTGATTCCTCTTTTATTTTATTCAACAACACATTTCTTTCACTCTGCTTCAACAGGAATCCATTATACGCCTGACAGAGCTAAACCTCATGCCGCTGTATCCTATCTCCCTGAAGCTCCTGTACTCTCCAGGCCTCAGGTACATCATCCTGCCTCTGTAGTGGGGCTGCTCGTACATCAGCCAGTGGCCGTCCATCACGTTGCAGGACTGGCAGTCGGACATGCGGTAGCGGTCCTGGAAGTTGTCACAGTCTTCCATCAGCTCATGTGTCTGACCACCAAAGTTCTCCCTCTCGTAGATCTTCATCCTGAACTGGCCTCTGTGCTGTAGATGGATACACAGAGGAGGACAGGTCAGCATAGGACAATTTTGCTGCTGTTAACGTTGTATGTTTTATTGCAGAGTGTGTGATGCGGTCTTTGTAAGAATTAATTAAAACTTGCTCATTAGATATTTACTTTCAAACCCACAACAGGAAAAAAAATAAAATTAGCAAAATGATAATTTTTCATCAATATTACATGAAATATTTTCCAAATCTTTGCATACCTGAGGAATTAAACGGCAGGATCGGATAGAGTCACTCATGCCAAAAGACATGTAGTCGGCGTACTCGCCCCTCCTCATGAAGTACTGGTTTCCCATGTAGTTGGGGCGGTCGTAGACCATGAAGCAGCCGCTCTCCACCCCCTGCTCAGGGTAGCGAGGAGCATGTAGGAACAGTCCCGCTCATGCACCTCATAAGCAGCGAACCCTGGAAGTTCCTGTCCTCGTAGAAGATGGATCTGTAAAAAAGAAAAACCAATTGATTTAAACTGTCCATTTTAAAATATAGTTTTGGAAACTTAAATCAATGTTACTGTCACTGTTCACATTGTGTGTGCCGAGTTTCTCCTACACAGAAACGTGCTTGTTTTCCGCTCTGCTCTCTACATACCTTGCCCATGTTTGATGATCTGTGTTTGTGGGAATCTGTCCAACAACCTGTGGCTGCCAGGCGGCTTTTATACTTTATACGCGCTCTAACAGGGTTTTGTTATTCAAATTATCTGGAAGTTGATGAATAAGCAGCTCTGTGATGCTGTTAATTTCATTTGTGCCATCATGATCCAGTACAAAGGGAGGGGAAATGGGTGGAAGACACAAGGCGGGAGAGGAGGGGGAAGAACCGAGCTGCAGTTTTTTTTTTTTTTTTT